ACATCATGCCAAAACGTAAATGATCCAATATTTTTCCTCTTTTGACAGCTCGCTGAAGCTTCAGTTAAAGGCTAAACATACACTTAATGGCCAATACTGTGCATATATGTACACTGTAAAGTATGTAGGATCCAAACACAGTGAGTGCCTATAAGAGACTGACTCGTAGATAATGGTTGCCAGGCAACATTTTATGAAGTCTGCCTCAGTTAAAAGAGCAAAATTACAAATTTTGTTGCAAGTTTTTCTAATGTATTAGTTCTGTGAAAAGTTTCCAGATACTGGACACTCATCCGAAAACAGCAAATACCTGGTTCAATTTTCATTTTGAAGTCTCTTTTACAAAGTCCAAAACAACCTTTCTGACATCAAAGCACAGCCCTTCATTAATCAGCGGGTGATATGAAATTAAATCAAACATTGTCTTTGTATCCACACATATTTCAAAGTAAAGTCCTAGTAGTATTAGTGATGCATAGCAGGGGTAAGGAACATAAAGTAGTTTGGGAATTTCAGAACAGTTTCATGGAAACGAAATCTGATTGGTCATATTCATGATCAAATCCAAAGTGAGGCAGTACCTGTAATTAAACCTAATATTTGCAAATTATACATTACCATCCTTGTCTTGTGCTTTGATGGGTAATGTTACAATAATGGAACAATGTCATATCAACTTTACTGAAATATATTTTTCCAAGTATTCAAGAAAAAAAGATTTAGACAGTATGAATCTATATTAATATCTTGTTAATAAAGAACATCAGTCTTGCCTCAATTTTGTAGTAGTTAAATACATACATGTAGGCTTAAAGTTTTCCATTGTTTTTCACTGAGTCATGATGAATATTCATCACAGCACATTTAGGATTTGGGTCAACATGTACTGGGACTAAGCTGAAAAACAAAACAAAATGAATGAAGCCAACCAAACATAAAAGAAGACCAGACTGAAAACATTCAGACAAATTGAACATGTACATATCTGCCTGCATAAAAGCAACTCTTATAAAACAACAGCTCACTGATGAATTCTAATTTCATGACAGATATAATCATGGGTAATTATTTAATAAAACAGGTGATTGTTTGTTTTGTCATAAAGATACATACCAGTACTTCATTTACATATACATGATGGAGATATTTTTTACAACCGACCAGTTCTGAGTCAATTCAAGTAGTAAATGCAGCATAGGTGAAAGCTAAATCTTTATTACATTTAATAACAAGACAACCTCATACCCTTGATACATTCAATGCTCGGAAAATCTTAGCGAGAGAAAATCAACCCAAACCTGGGATAATTAGTCAAAGTGTTAAAGCAAACAACATGCATAGTGGATATGCACAATGCACCCCTCCCAATCCTGTGAAAAAGTCCTCTACGTGGTGGATGCTGATAAGGCAACATGAGTTTCTGCTGTTTAATAGTAACGATTCCAGTAATCATAATGGACCACGCCTTGCATGGAACACATCTTCACATTGATTATTGAGTATTTTTTAAATGATTATTTAATTTGCTAGGGCAGAATTTACAGATGCCAATTTACGTGTATTTCACAAATGTTGAACACTGGAGAAAAAAAATATGCGTATATCTATCCAAAGGATTGGATGCAATGAAAACATGGGCTCAGAAAGCAGCAAGGGGTAGCAGTGTCATACATTTGACTGGGAGTGCACCAACGGCTTTTAACCAGGGGTGAGATTTGTCAGAATATTTCAAACAATCACTGTTAAAATCTGGAAATTATGAGTTTGTAGTTAACTAAGGTGTTTTTATATAAAAGTTTATACAGAACATAAATGGGAATGTTAAGGAATGCCTTTTAGTGAGGCTAATTAGGCAAACATTAATGTTTACCATCGACCCTTCATTGCTGTGGAGCCCCCAAAACCTCTGATGATGATTTTGTGGATATTTCATTTTCCAAGAATCTCACCTCTGTTTAACATTGCCTGGGAAAGGACAGGTAGTTATTTCAGTCCCAGATGAAACCCTGCCGTGCTTACAGACCTTTCTAATGTTGCCTCCTCCTCACATGTTTGGTCAGAGTTGGCATAAATATCACCTTTGGTTGATGGTACATCTACAAGTACCATGAACAAAAGGTGATACTTGCCTACTCACATGCATGTTTGCCTCATTTCTTTCAAATAGGGCTGTATTTTTGTTTTTCATCTAGAATTAGGAGCACATGTATTTATTGTTTTTTTTTTATTTTTAAATACTTTTTTGGCTCAGTTGTTTGACTTTGGTTTGAAAGTTAGTTACAATGTATAGTTAACAAGCCACTGATTATGCTAGGTGAATAATAAGACTGTGACATACAGAGAAATAGAGACTGGCCTGTAGGAATTCTAAAGCAGTCTGCTGTTCACATGCATTGGGCTCATATCTTCTGAGACTTCAAAAATGCAAGAGGGGAGTCGCAGGCTGTTTGCAAACTGTGAATAGGTTCACCACATCTTTGCATGGTATGTCATTCCAGTCACCCGATGAATTCAGCACGGCACAGTTTTCCGCTGCGCCACCTGAATTGTTGTTGGGTTCACCCATGGCCCAAGGCATCTCCTTCAAGGGAACCACCCTCACCCCTTCCCAGCATACCCATCTACCTGTTGGCAGCAAGCAAGAGACGTTATGATAAATGCACTTGAAATACATTAAAGTGAACTTACAAATGTAAGATACTGTATAACCTAGAACCTTTCAGACATGGAAAAGTGATCAAGATGAAGTCAATTTGACAATGCTGCATTTATAAAAATGGAAAAAAAATGTGCCTGCTAGGAAAATGACATTGTAGTCTTTGTCTTAACAGTACCCAGAACATATTCACTACACTGAGAGAAAAGAAAAATCTAACCAAAGTAGCGGGGTTGTAACAAAGTGTAAATATTGCCCAATGTGCTGTTGTTTCTTCACCAGAGTTACCAGTGGAGGTGACAATTTTTTTTGGGGAGGGGGAGAAGAATGTTTTTGCAGTATTCCTGGCAGTGGTTAGCTGCGCCACCCATTTTTTTTGGTTAGAAAGTTTGTTTGTCCAAATGCCAAAAAACAAACAAGCAATGCTGACAACATCACAAACCATTTTCCATTCCTAGCTTCGTAGTGCAATGGTTGCACAGCAAAATAACTTTGTTCACTCGCGGCTCATCCATAAGGCATGAATGCACAAAACTGGACTTTTTCTGGCTTGAATACAGAGAATCAGCTTCATTTACATGCTTTGATGACTTTCCACTTCCTTTGTGATAGTAAAAGGGAGAAATTCCACCGTTTTGCATTTTATGCTCATGGATTTCCATATTAATGAGCGAAAGCAAGATGTCATTCAAGCCAGATACATGTAGGAGTTTGTAACATTTTGCTAGATCTTTTACAATTAAACTCTACTTTATTTTTGGTTTTCATGGTAAACGGCTCGTTCAGATCACTTTAGTCACCAGTATTTCTTAAAACCATTGTGGATGCCAGATTTATCTGCTGCATGTTTCCTTTAATGGCTTGTAGGTCCTGGGCACCAGCATTCCTCAGTGCCAACTTTTGAAAACACTGCCCATATTGCAGGATAATACTTTCTATCCAATTTTGGAGCATTCACCTCTGTGAGATATTGTCATACTCACCTTCCACTTGCTCATCGGTGCAACCAATCCAGATGCGAGTCTCACCCCGCGGCATCAAGTCGAGTAATACCTGGCTCTCGCTCTTGGATTGGGGCACGGCCATCACTCCTCCCATCTGAGCACACTCCTTTGTTGCCTTGAGCCAGGCCAACTTCCTCCCTGTGGCTTTGTAGCATTCCATCCCCCACTGGTGCCAAGTGGGAGGGCATGCCCCTCCCATGGAGCCCGTGCACCACTCCTCTGCACCGACTGGGTAACTCAGCAGAAGGCTAGCAGCCCAAACCAGCCCGACCAATGCCATGCTCACACCAAAAACTGAGCAGCACTCCAGTGATGGAGGCATTAGTTATTGCCAGAGCACATATACTGGGTAGTTTCAATTGGGAAATGCCTATAACGAGTAGAAAATCAATGAATTTAGTACCTTTTGTCATAGCAACCAGTTCCTAAACATGATGTTATCACTATTGTGAATGCCTGTTGGTTTAAGAGCCAATCACTGCTTCAGGTTTCAACGGTCTGTTGCCACACTGTGTTTTTTTTTCACTGTGTGTATATAGTCTGAGACATCGCCAGACCATTCGTAGGTAACCACGGCAATAATGACAATAAAATGCTCTTGCTGTAGTTCATTTGGTGTCTTGAATTAAGATCAAAACTTCTAGTTTCTTCTTTCGTGTCCTTCATGGATAGACAGGATACCGGTATCTTTCACTCGCTTGCCAGTTTGTTCTAATTGAGAACTTGTCGGTCAATTATTTATGTTCAGGTGCAGGTCAGATTTTCATTGGTTCCTCCAGTCCTTATTCTTGATTGCTCACCTGTCAGTTGGGCGTGTAGTTCGTTTGTTTATATGTGTGTAAACATTTTATTTATTTTTCATGTTGTCAGATTCACTTGCCTGTTTTCCTGATCACGAGTATTTCAGATTACATTTACTTAGTCTGTGTAAACGTTGTCAACATGGGTAGAAAGAGTGGACCCCATAGAATTTTTGAGGAATGAGTCCGTGACCAGATGATAATGTTGTGCCTGTACTGGGCTTAGGTGTAACTATCCATAGGCCTGTTTATTTTTAGTAGACGTTTCAAGCAGGGATGCAGTAGGTAGGCATTTGGGCTACGGTGTTTAAGCACACTGCCATTTACCCAGGTTTGCTTGTTATGTCTTATCTTTGTTTCGGCCCCTTCCCCTCCCCCTATTCCACTTTACAGCCCTCGGTCTTGCCTATTCAACTTTTTTTTTTCACTTGTTGCTGTAGCTTCTCTTTTCTTCTTTCCTTTTTAGTTTACTTTTTTTCATTTACTTGCCTGTGAATTTGTTTGATTGTAGTAAGTGATATTAATTAAACTATAGTTGTCAATAAAAATGTGAATAACAACAGATGATGGAGGACTTAAAGTGATCTCCAGAAAAGTTAACAGGCAAAACAAGATCACTATTTTTGCCTTTGTAAAAACGTCTGCTTGGATCAAAACAACAGGTCTTCTAGGTTTTTCTTTCATTTGAAAACTTAAGAAAGCGGAATTTTAAATTTGTATACAAGGGGGAGGGGTTTACTCGCCCTTTGTCAAACATCCCTCATGAAAATTATTATTATTATTGGTTTATTCACTAAAAAAAATAGTACAGTTTGGCAACCCGAAGGTT